TAAATCCCATTAACATAAGAAAAATATTTTAGATCTCAAATTTCTATAATCATGTGATAGAATAATGATACTCAACAAAACAAGTTGAAAAAATAAAAAAAAAACCATTTCACCAACATTCACAAATTCATATCTTTGAAACAAAAAAGAACACCCCTCTAAAAATTTCTTTAGATATGTTAGAGGTATAATATAAAAAATTTTGAGGTCAAAATTTTGCTGCGATGGTTACTTTTTACGATTTTGAAAAATTCAAAGTTTTTAAATTTTTTTGAATTTTTAAGTTTAAGCACCAGCGTTCTTTATTTAATCTAAAGTAGGTTCTGAAATATCAAATAAATAAACTCATAAAATCGGAAAAACGGTGAAATTTTAAATTAGTAGACTGGTTTCCCGAAGTTCATTGCCAAAGTTACTGAATCGATGAGGTTCGCCCGAAATTATATATATTTTTGGTAACAAAATCATCGGTTCCACTCGTGTGCTCTTTCATAAATTAAAATCTGACTGCTGTGGGCGCTTGTAAAGGTTGGGGTTTTTTTAATACTTATTTTTTCCAGTTTCATAAGTATATATATACAATGCAGAAATGTTCCTAGCTATCAACAATTTCCACATAAATACGTGATTTTCATGAGATTGACTGTTTGCATATACCTACGTTATTGGCAACTTGGGCAAACAAATTTTATTTGGCTTGCACTACATATGGCACTCTCTCTCGCTCGCATGCCAATTCACATCACTCTGTATTCATAACAATGTACGAGTACACAAAAAAGACGAACAATGGGCGCTGACTTTAGCCCACATATAGTGACACATTCCACAACGCCGGGCAAAGTTATTGTGAGCATACGAAAATGTTCTTTGTCAGTTTTTAATTAAATTTAAATGCACTTTAGCACTGCTTTAAACGAATCGCATAAGCGACAAAAATATAAATATATATATATGTATGTATACATACTTGTACATGTACGATTGCATGTATGCATAATGCAATATTATCTTTAATGATCAAATCGGGATATAGAGCATCTAGTATTGGGTAGTTAAAATTCAACGTAAACACTAATTAATTTTGCGGTTAGCTCATTATCGTAAAGTAGCGTGTTTTGGGTATTTCTTAGTTATTGGAATTTCGAGAACTACTTAATCCTTAATTGGGGGCAGCACCTGCATCATGATAATCAGTGAAATTACTACTAATTGGACAGAACAGTAATTTAGATTGGAATAATACATAAGGTGTTACAGCTCTGCGTAAGCTATACTTAAATTGAACGTACACTCAAATACGACAAACAGACAGGAGAGACATATTCTATGTAAGTGGTAAAAAAATTTTAATTTTAGGCGTGACCTCTTCTCCTACTAGATTTAATAATAGAACATCCAGGTGAAAATTAAACCATAGTGACGCCTATATTCGAAATTACTAAACTGCTGATAACAACCAGAGTCATGCTAGAAATGTGAACTTTATATATATTAGTGTGCAAAAATGATGTTTCGCTTGGCCTTTTGAAAAATTGATAGACACCTCTTAGAAAGGCTCTTCAAGTATGTGCTCTTAATTTTAACGGGCGGACGGGAGGACCTTTCCGTAACTAACAATCTTCTATATTTTTCCTATTATCAGTTATATTACTTATGTTATGAGTAAAACACGCTCATTCCTTTTCCTTGAGATAACTCACACATTGGCAAATATATGCGGCATAAAATCACCCGCTAGTTCAAAAATCTTTATATTAGGTATATGGGAGCTAAGAGAAGTATTGACCCGCTTCATTGCACTTAGACATACAGACATACTATTATCAGGAAATGATTCCTTCTGAATTTCAATTATATACCTCACACATTGATTGATATTTTCGGTAAAAAGTCAACTATTCGGTACCTAGGGGCTTAAAGAGTATAATTCGATTTGGACAATTTTTACTCAGAAGGTGGCATACTTTAAAGGCATTATTCGTGCAAAGTTTTATCCCGATACATGCGTTAGTGCATGATTTACATACTGGAAAGGGAAAGAATCAGATGGATTAATGAGAAGTAGGCGTGGTTGTAGTTCAATTTCGCCCATCTGCACTGTGATATTATATACCGAAATTGGTTGAAATCGGGTCAGCAGGTTCTGTTACATGTGATTTCATCTAAAAGGTGGCGGTGCCACGCCCATCCTACACTTTTACCGCGCCTCCCATAAAGTCCTATCATACCATCTCGGGGGCAAAATTCAATGTCTCTGGCTTATTTAGTTATTAATTTATCACGCTTTAAGTAGTTTTTAACAGTACTGTTATATGGGAAGTGGGCGGGGTTATCATCAGATTTCATCCATTTTCAAACTGTCGGTAGGGGTTTTTAAATAATTTGTCTTAAGCGAAATTGGTTATTGTAGCTTAAGCGGTTTAGGAGATATAGACATTAAACTTATTAGAGGGCCCACTTTATAAGAAATTTTAGCCCACAGGTGCTCCTTACCATATATAGCAAGTTTCATCAAGATGATCATACAAGTATATATGTATATATATAACCCTATATCCGACTCTATTATGTTTAGGTGATACAAACAACCGTTAGGTGAACAAAACTATTACAAGTACACTCTGTAGCAACATATTGGAAGAGTATATATATATATATATCCATAAAACGAAATATGTGGAAGCGAGATAAAATTTTTTGATCTGATAATAGAAAAAAATAAAAAAAAAACCGCTTTCGTTAGTCAATCAAGAACTTTTACGTGGGGAGTCTTTCTAAGAGGTGTCTATCCACCAATTTTTCAGAGTACGAAACGGAAAAAACGTTGTATTTTTTACACATCCTTATATATACATATGCCATTTATATAATATATATAGGTATGTGTATATACGTATATTTTTACTAATATTTACTCATTCACATAATCGCCTCAGTTTGTATCCCACTAGAAACAGTTGAAATACTTGCCCGCATGAACATATGCATATACTGAACGGAATTCTTTCTCGTTTTTTATTATTCACCAACGTAAAAGTATAATTTTAACTCGGCGTCGATTCATACAAGCACATTTCTACGCAGTTGCAGCATGTTACAGTAGCAACATAAAATCCGCTTAGACAAGTACCTATATATCTTGCTTGCAAGTCTTCACACAGGCTAGAATATGTGCATGCTGAGGTGTAGCGGCGCGTGCTCGTGCTAGTTCTGTAACTAAGCAGACATCGCGTTAAGCTGACATAAACACTTCGGGATTGGCAAGTTGCCTTCAAAAGACGCAGATTGTTGCAATATTATAGAATTGCATAGGATGAAACTTAACGGAAAGCGCTTTCAAAGTTATAAACATTAAAGGGTTTATAAAGCCTCGAAATTTGACCTTTAATTTTGAGTAGCCGCCATTTTTAACATTTTTTTTTTTTCTATTTTGTTTTTTATTTATTGTTTTTTTTTTTTTTTTGGTTCATACGTAACGACATTTATAGTGTCCAAAAATCCGTCTTTGTTTTATTTTTCAAATTACCCCAGGGATAGATAACGTAATGACGAAGACGCGACTTTCGAAGTGGCATAACTTTATAAAAATGTATTTAATTTTTAATTTTTTCTCCTGTGTACTCTTGAAATATTTATAAACAAATCGTAAAAAAAAGCGGATAACACAAATATAAATTGCAAAAAAACGCGCGAAATGCGGGGTTCTAAACTAGAATGCACTCTTAAGTTATGATATCATTCAAATACTTTTCCAAGGTAGAAATATTTGTTTTATGTGGCAACTACTGCCAACCTCGCTTGCAATCATCCAAATTTTACAAAATTCATCAAATATGTATTATCAAAATCTCGGGTTCGCCAATTTCAAGTTGCCCACATCTCTAACATAGTTCGTATACGAGAAGCATGTTACTTATACGACACGTTGCACTGCTGCTTATTTCCATTTGTGCGTAGAAATAAAGCTGTAAAATATTTTGTACTACTAATTACAATTAATCCGCTTATGCATAACATGACACGTATCACTTTATATAAGTGGTTATTTATATTTGAATGAGCTACACGTGTGTGAAGTCCATGCATTTCTTGTGAGACGGGCTTCTAGTTCAATTTCTCATATTGGGGCAAGCGTCGTTGCGCTTCTGTGTGATAAAAGTCGGCGCAGCTGCATATTTATCGCATTAAATGTATAGATTTCACTGTTTTGTTAGTTAATTGTGGTTTCATTAAGCCATTTCATTAAGATTTGCTCAGCATAAAAGCTGGCTTTTTTAGCATTATTTTTTTGTTACTTTAAGTAGATTTTTTTCATATTATTTCAACGCATGTAGTTAACAGTTAAAACTATTTATTTATTGCTTTTCTTTAAATGTGTCAATTTTAATGCGAGACATTTGTTTATATTGAATCTAAATAGTTCATTTAAAATATTGATTTGTGGCGTCTATGATATGAGTTAATAATTTTAATGCGTGAAATATTTAATAATTTGTATAATTACATTTTTAATTTTAATTACTATTAAATATATAAATATATATATATACTATTAAATATATAATATAATATATACTATTAAACATATATAAAGATCAAACTCTACAATTCCCTCATCGATCCCGTCCTGTTATATGGTGCGGTGGCTTGGACCATGTGATTTATTGCAGTATTGTTATATTCAATAAATTTACAAAATTTTAAAAGTCGTATTGTATCATTTAATCAGCTGGTAAATATATAAAATATATAAATACAGTTATTGATTGATAGCCTATATTTAATTGTACGTGACTGAAGCGAAATTTGGCTCAAATGTCTAAGTAGTCACTTACACATTCATATACAAAAGCACATATGTATTTATGTAGTTTGCAAATATCCGCACAAACATACATGCGTACATAAATGAGTACTTGAATAAGCACAGAATCCCGTTATATACAAACGCATGCATTAATATCGAACTCAATTCACATTTGTAATTGGAAACTTACCGTAATTTCTAGCAATTGTTTCGCAGTTAAACTTGTATTCCTCTGAAATCAATCAGTATGTATTTTGCTCTCCTTTTGTATTAGCGGTGATATTGTGTTGCATTGTCTATATTGAAGCTATTTTGTTGCCGAATGGAATTATGGAAATGCCTGCCTCGTTTAGTTATTAGTCATTTTGGTATTGTAACTTTTGTTAGCATACCGTTATTGTTCTTCTCTTTGCTTGTAGTATTAGATGGATATGGTAATCTTTTATTGACTTTAGCAGTTTAACATTGCTGTCTTGTTAACACTCTAATCCATTTCATTTGATCTAAGAAAGCTAATTTTACTTAGTCAGGTTGTTTGTCAGTTGAAGTCAAGCCAATACAACTAGTTTATGGTTGTTGTTTGTGATGCACAGTAAAGACCTAATAAGAAGGTAAAAGTGCACAGAATTTTTCGAAGCTAAAGACAAGAAACTAAAAAAATATTTTATACAAATAAAACGATAGCTTCGGCTACACCGAATCTATAATACCCTTCACAAGTGCATTTCTTATAGCAACTATATGTATGCATAACTAAATCTAAAAATTGACAAATGGTTTGTATCTAACAGAAGACGTTTTGCTATCTTTCTAACCATTTTGTTTGCTATAAACAACCTTCAAGTCGAATAAAGTTTACTTTGTAAGGAAAAGGATATCTTATGAAGACCTTTATCATGACTGTGATTGGTTTGAATAGCAACTATATGATATAGTGGTTCGTTCTATGGGGAGATTCAGCTGCTTGGGCAGAAAAGTACATGTGCAAAATTTCAGAATGATATCTCGTAAACTGAGGAACTAGTTCGCGTATGTACGGACAGACAGACGCACATGGCTAATTTGACTCTTCTCGTCCTATATACATATACAGCATATACTTTATAGGATCTCCAACGTTTCCTTCTGGGTTTTACAAAATTTGTGACAAACTTAATATAGCTTGTTTAGGATATAAAAAAATGTTTCGATTATTTTGGGCAAAACGACAGATGCCGAATGATGACAGAAAACTTTTTCATTTGAAAAAATATTTTCACGAAATTTGCAACAACATCATTATCTAAAGCAATAATGGTATCTCCGAAGTAATTGTTCAGATCGCACCACTATAGCATATGGCTATCATACAAACTGAACGATCGGTATGAAGATGTTCTAAGCAACTTTTTGTATTGTGAAAGGTATTGTATCTGAGGTGCAACCGCAGTCAAGGTGTTTTCTTGTTCATTAACTATTTTTTAATCACATACGCAACAAGTTTTTGAAATAGCCCGCCTCTGTTTACACTGAACGAGTATTAATTCCCTTTATTTCATATCACGATTACACAGCGATGATATTTGCATCCAGAAAATATATCTATTTTCCATTTTTTGACCTTATTTTCTATTAGTGGCATATACTTTCAACTATTTGCAACTCATTTTTGCAGTACTTTTCCATGCTAATAATAAATTCAATTAATTTTCCACAATCAAATATGTATTACTTTTCTCTTTCTTCAACTTCAACTTGCCAAATTGACTTAACAATCAACCCAACCCGCAGCAGCTGTCAGTAGGGACTCAATATAATTAACTTGTGCGCAAATTTTTCTGCCATACTTCTTTCTCCTATTACACTGTGCTTTGACAAGTGCTTCCTTGCATATACACATACATACATATGTATTTATTTAGATATAAGCTCTGTCCACCAAAATCGCTTTCTCTATGGACTTGATTGGTAACTGTAAACTATATTCACATTACATACATAGCACTGGTTTTGTGGAAAGCGCGCAGTACAAGTGGCAGGGTAAGAAAGAAGGCAAGAAAAGATGTTGCTAAAACTTGATCCACATGGTTTTCGAAATAATGTCAGTTTCCGGCCATTTACTCGCACATCCGTTGGCATTGCAACGACCAAGTGTCAACTCTTAAGTACACAAAAGCACACACACACTACGAATTGTAATAGTTATATACTCGTATAAGTGTATGGAAGTAGAACCAGTGACTTTGGAGTTCACAAAGTCTGATTATTTGCATTGGCGCTTATGGTAGTCCACTATTCGGTTACTAATAAGTATGTACTTCTAATCTGTTCGTTAACCCTAGTCCATATAAATGTATATATGCATATACAGAGATGTCAAAATATTTGCCATATGAATATTATGAACTTTTTTATCTATTAAATTTATAACGTTAAAATAATAAATAATTTGAAAAAGTTTTTCAAACAAATTATTTTCCTCAAAATATGTTCATACTGAATTTGTTTAAGCTTATTTTCCTCGAGTGAAACGTATTCAACTTAAAATCAATCCCTGACTTGCTCAACAAGCAAGCAAACGTGGCATGAATGGAATATGGAACATGCCGACTATTTAAATTTAAAAGGAATGATATAAGAATTCTAGTAGGAGTACTAACAGGTCACTGTCTAATAAGCAGACATGCCAGTATACTAAGAACGCCATACTCATATAAAGACTATTGTAGAAGCTGTCAGATTGTAGAAGAGGCGGAGACTATTAAGCATCTTCTATGCATCTGTAAGGCTCTATATAGAAAAAGAATCGCAACTATCGGTCGAGGGTTTCTTGACGACCTCTTGAAGGTTGCACAGATAAAACTTTTCGTACTGATAAACTTCAACAGAAGCACGGGGTAGTTCAGAGAGTAGCCTTTAGTCCCGGTGGTATCGCAGTAAGCTTACTAAAGGCCTTAGTGCGTCGTTAGATAGCCACTTCTACCTAACCATCCTCCAGAAATCTGAAAATGGAGTAATTCAAACAGGTGTCAACTCTCCAAAAATGTTCCCTAATGTAAATGGTTTGTTTTCTGACCTTTATTATTATTTTTTTTTCTTATCACTTTAATTGCAGAAAATTGCAGTGTGCATATATAGTCTTAAATTTTTTAAATTTTATTTGTAGTTTTTGAAAATTAAACCGCTTCCACCAGTTTATTACTACAGTTATAAAAATTCAAAAATTCTACAATTTGCACAGTGTTTGTTAGCTTTTGAAAAATGATGATATGATATGCTACAAACAAGTGTCAACTCTTACCAAATATTTGCTCAATTGCATATATACTTAAACATTGTTTGTTTGATATTCAATACAATTTTTACAAAACAATGCTAAAAAAATTTTTTTGGAATGAAGTAACAAACAAATGCACAACTCAGTTTAAATTTTCTTGTTAATATTTAACAAGTAAGCGTCATTTTGTTAAGAAATTCCGTGAAATTTAATTTTTCATGTCACTATGCCACATTTGAGATCAATATTTTATAAAACTCGCGCAGTTTGGAAAAATATTATTTTGGCAAATTTAAAATTTTATAAAAATATCAGATTATCACATACGTAGCTGGTATCTCAAGTCCTACTTAATTTATTTCTTGCACACATTTCCTCTTCACTTTTTGCATTCCGGCAAAAGTTGGTTTGAAATGATGTACTTCTACACAACATTTAGTCGAATCATTGAGATTTTATTAAATCAAATATTGGATTGAGCATAACTAGATTTACACTTTGCAATTATTTTAGCTTTTGAATAGCACACTTGTCATAATTTAAGTTTTATTCTCACTTTATGTTTTATCAGTAAGTAATCAGAAAAGGTCTACGACTTGCACAGTATATGTTTTCATGTCACTTTACAATTTTAATTTTTAAGCATTATAGAAATTACCAACAGTTCATTTTTTTTTTTTTAACATCTGTTTTAGTTTCATTCAACAAACAACACTAACATTCCATTACCGCCACTTGCTATTTTCCACTTTTGCGCTTTCATCTCTGTAATACTATCTCCTGTTGCAGTGAAGGCAATGCAGGAATCGTTTTGGTGTATGCCAGTTATATATGGTTAATGCCGACACCGCAATACTTAACCGAGCGGGTAGAAGTCGAAAGCTGCTGAAAATTATTTACCAGCCATGACTGAACTTTAACAACTGCACAAAACTTCGGCACTTGGGTGGTGGTGCGCACAAAAGTAGGCAACAAATTGAAGTCTACACTTGCAGCCGCAGCAATTGCCACAGCAGTGTTAGTGGGGGAGGCTATTACTATTACTTGCATTCAAGTGTGTGTGTATGTAAAAAAGTGATGACGACAAATTTGTTTTTACTGTATTTTTAATAACACAAACCACGGTTAACGGAATATACAAATCGCATGCGAGTATTCGTACTAACTCGTCACGAGTACACGTGCTCATGCTTCGTTTGTCGTGCTATCAAAGTGTGTGTGTGTGTGTATCTTTTTTAAAGTAACAACTCGAGCACACAGTTGCACAATACAACATTAGGGTGTGGTGAATATAATTCACAAGCTACCAAACATTTGTAAAGAGAGAGGAAATACGAGCGCGAGTGCGTAAGTGAAAGAGAGCGGCAAAGCTGTGCCTATACGAAAACTAAGGCGAGGTAAATGGCCAAGTACCAACAACTAGAGAAAATGTACCTTTATAGAAAGTCCATAAGCAGCTGAAGACGCCATGAAGCAGAGCAACAGTGGCAGCAGCATACGAACGTGCTACAGAAATCACCACTGAGGGAGAAGGGTGATAAAGAAAAGCACCAGTATGCTAGCCGAAGTTACAACGACCATTGCTACTAGCAACGCGTCAGCATAAGCGGGAGAAGTTGAAGAAATTTAAAATGTATACGTTAGCAGTCACTACACATCCGTTTCCACATTTAACATCATATCCTTTTTGTAATCAATTTAGGTTTTTTTATTTCAACATTTTTCACCTGCATACAAATATATATAAATACTGATGCTTGTTCGTTGTAAAAAAGAAAGTGTGTATTTTAGTTCTTCACAAAAATAATCCTCAAACCTACATAATATCTTGTAGTGTTATCCATAAAAATTTCGTTTTTATCAGTGCTGCTTCTCTGAGCTTAAAATCTAGCAGTGCCTACTTCTAGTATGTATATTCACAGACGTTTTTATGGTTTGTGCACGTTTTCAGGCGTATATGAGTTAACTTGAGTCAAATGGTAGCAGTCTCTTTTGCACCACTTACTTTATTCAAATTTAAAAAAAGAATTGTTTACCGTTTACTTTTATTTTTTATTTTAGTATCCACTAGTATAGAAACGCCTTTTTCATACTTTCTTCATGCGCCCCAATTTGCGAATTATGTGATATGTGTGAGCATGTGCCTGTGTGCATGTGAATGTATTTCCTTTTCACTGGATTCTCTTTTTCCTGTAGGTTAGCTCATTTTCTTTTGACTGTATAGACAAATTTTACTTTTACAATAACGATTTTTCAGTTTAGTAATATTGTATAACTAGTTTTCAGTTATTTCATATATATATAATTTTCAACAGTTTTTCTAGCTGTTCACAACTGGTGAATAGTTATTTCATCCTATTTGTTGTTTTTTTTTTTGTTTGCAATTTTTCACCGTGACGCGCTTTGTTTTAACCGTTTAGCATCCGTACACGTCGACTGTCTCCACCTGACTGAGAAAATCGATGGCCAATCTCTGCAATTTAACACACACGGAGCATAGCATGGTGGATTTTGTGACACATTTTCAAGTGTTTGTATTCGCTTGTGTGTGCATGTGCGTATTTGCGTCTGTATAACAGTATTTAGGTGGCGGCTGCTGTCGCTCAATGTAACGCTGCACAGCATCCCTCGTGTGAGAGTGAGCATTCATTTGCAATGGTACACTCTTTTTCAGGCGCTCTTTCGCTCTCCCTTCGTACATTTCGGCCTATTATGTATGTATGTATGTGCACAATCGTGTGCTCCATATTTTAAAGCTCTTTTTTATAACGGTTTTTTACTATTTGTTATGAACGGTTCGTTTATAAATTTTATGTGTTTAACTTTGTTATAGTTATCGACATAATTGAAAGTTTAGAAAACCGGCTGCATTTAACACCATATCGAAAGAAAGTTAGTCATACGCCATGTCACAGTGAATGTTGCGTATACGCCCCAGACATTAAAGTACTATTAAACATGGAAAAACGTTAACTTTGGTTACACCGAAGCTTGAATACCCTTCACAAATAACGAAGTTTCCATACAAGCTCTTGATTCCGAGCATTCAGTTTGTAAGGCAGCTATATGCTATAGTAATCCAATCAAAACGAATTCTTTGAAGAGTAAACCTTTGCTTTGGGCAATAATATTAGGTAAAGTAAAAAGTTCGTTCCAACGAGATGCCAACTTCATTATACCCCTCTCGTAGAAGACTACGTCCCTATTGCCAAAAAACTCGGAGAGCCAATTTTCACAGGCCTCTCTTGAGGCCAACTTCTCACCATTCAGCGCGTTCGCCATGGACAGGAAAAGATGGTAAACACTTGGTGCCAGGTCCGGACTATAAGGTGGGTGCATTAGAACCTCCCATCCGAGTTCCAGGAGCTTCTGGCGAGCCACCAAAGACGTGTGTGGCCTGGCGTTGTCCTGATGGAACACAATTCGGCCTCTGTTGATCAAAGATGGCCTCTTCTGGATGAGTGCTGCCTTCAAGCGGTCCAGTTGTTGGCAGTAGAGGGCCGAATTGAGCGTTTGGCCATAGGGGAGCAGCTCGCAGTAGATGATTCCTTGCCCATCCCACCAAACACATAGCAAAACCTTCCTGGCCGTCAATCAGGTCTTGGCCACCATCTGGGCCGCTTCCCCGAGCTTTGACCACGACCGTTTGCGCTCGATGTTGTCATAAGTGACTCATTTTTCATCACCAGTCACAATCTGCTTCAGAAACGGGTCGATTTTGTTGCGATTCTGCAGCGATTTGCAGATGGAAATTCGGTCCATCATGTTTTTTGCATTAGTTCGTGTGACACCCAAACATCGAGCGCCTTTTTGAATCCAAGGTTATGCAAATGGTTCCAAACTGTTTTTTGGCTTATCTTTAGTTCCTCAGCAATTAAGTAAGTGCTCACGTGACGGTCTATTTCCACTATTTCCATGATTTTATCGCAATTTTCGACGACAGGCCTCCCGACGCGTGGTGCATCTTTGACATCGAAATTACCGGAACGGAACCTAGCAAATCACTTTTGTGGTACACGTTCGTTTACAGTATCGGGCCCATAAACTAAATTAATGTTTTCAGCCAATTTGGTCGCTTTGATCGAAGAAAAATTGTAAAATATAGCGAATTTTCTGTATATTGGTGACCATCTTTGACCAGCGCTCACAACGAACTGAGTAAATCAATCGAAAAACTGTCAAAGACAAACTTTTAGCGCGAATAAACACGTTTTCAGCGCCGTATAGTATGACATGATGCGACACGTAACACTAATACTATGGACAATAACGCCATCTTTTAGATAAAAACCGAACGAACTTTTACTTGACCTAATATATGCCAAATTTCGTCTAGGTATTTCGTCAAATGAAAATATTTTCCATACAAGCAATGCTATAGTGGTCCGATATTGGAGCTTCCGATAAATAAGCGGCTCCTTGTGGAGAAAAGAACATGTGCAAAATTTCAGGTCAATATCTCAAACACTGAGAGACTAGTTCACGTATATACAGACAGACAGACAGACGGACAGAAAGATTGACAGAAAGATGGACAGACAGACGGACATGGCTTAATCGACTCAGCTCAACATGCTGATCATTCAGATATATATTTTATAGGGTCGCTGACATTTCCTTTTGGGTGTACAAACATCGTGGCAAACTTAATATATTTGCAGAAACTAACTTAAAAGCTATATACTTGTATATTGTATATTATATTTGTATAACTACAAATAAATTTTTTATTTTTTATTTTTTGAAAGCACTATTGATTTATAAAATTATATAATATTTCAAAACCAAACACATATTTTCTGAGTAAGTAAAATAAGTTTTTCGACTAGGACGTATAAAAAACATTATTAAGGAAAAAAACAAATAAATAATTAATACGAGGTGTGTTCAAAAAATAACGGGAATTTTTGTTTTTTGAAAAAAATATTTATTCATTTGTCTACATTAATGTTGTCGCCTTCAAAGTAATCTCTATTCGATATGCACTTACGCCAGCGCTTCCTCCAATCGTCGAAACACTTCTTAAACTCGAATTTCGGGATAGCCTTTAGCTCTTTCAGCGGTTTTCAACTATCTTGTAAACGACAGCCCTTTAAGGTTCTCTTTATTTTTGAAAATAAAAAAAAAGTCACACGGAGCCTGGGGTATTGTCGCAGTATTGTTTTTGGCCAAGAGTTCATGAACAAATTGTTTGATTCATTTCTTTTAACAAAAGAGAAACGCCAGCAAATGAAAACACGTCTAACCTTAGCGGCTACTATAACCAAAGTAAGCAAGGAATATATCTGAACAAAATTATTTGACAATTTGGTTCTCCAAACCTGCGAAATTTTAATTTTTGTACACACGTAAATATAATGATATGTTAATGGCGAAAATATATACAAGCGAAATAATCAAGTTTGTCAATTTTACCAACATCGGACACACTTATTCCGCGCATATTATTTCCTTCAATACAACACAACAGCAGTAATTGCTATCACCTGTGCATTTACATCGCCGCGTACATAAAACAAACTTCGAAATGAAAAATAAAATGCAACAACAATAAAAAGTGTATAGCAACGTGTACGCTAACCGTGAAGAGCAGTCAGAGGCGTGCTTATCACTTGCCACCTTGCAGAGTAATTATCGTCAACAGCAACACAATTCATATTATCCACACCAATGTAAAACTAACAATGCACTACCGTACTGTCGACAGCACAGTCCGCAACGTCACTGTCATTGTCATAATCGATGGCTTTGTTATGCGACAGCGCTGAAAATACATACATATATATGCAATGGTTGCTGTAGCGTAGCAACAAACTAGCCGTATACCGGACTAGTATGCAACTGGAAATTCAAATCTGAAAATTGGCAAGTTAGGAAGCTTACACTTTGAAGTAAAGAGTTTCCTGCGTGAAAATGAATTGGACCGAAAATCCTGAGTCTTCGAGCAGTTATAGCAGCATATATGTTATTCATGAGTTATTTGGTTGGACCAGTAGTATTGCGCCATAATTTTCATACAAACGTAAATTGGACTACAATTCGTTGCCTTCATGTAGGGTATATATTGTAAGCGTTATTATGTTGGGTACGCGAGTAGTTTCCATTTTTTTCTTACGATATACCCTGCTCTACCATATCTATATAATGTTATTATTTTGCATTTTCCTATTATTATTTTACTCGGCGTCGCTGGCGTTGATGCTGTGGCTTTTGTTATCACAACTGAGCATTTGCTACGCACGCGATTCTCGTTTTCATAAATTACACACTTCAAACTGACACTTACCAACACATACATAAATATTGTATTGGTTACAGCTATATACGAGTATATTGTATAAGCGTGAATATGAACACTTTAGTTGCACTAAAACATCCCAAACACACATACATCCATTCACGCAAATCATATCACATCACATCACATCGCATCGCTTCTCATCACATCACATCTGTTGAAGTACAAAATATCTTGTGTTCTCGCCTGACAATCTGCGATTTATCCCATAGTACCAATACATGTGTCAGAAGCTTCGTTACGCTTTCTTCTATAAACCAGCATAATATTGTTTTAGCAAAATGATTCTCATTACTTTCAACATTATATGATTAGGTCGTAGGATCGATGCAGAATCGATGAATCTTACTGGCACGGTTAATATTAATTCCAGCAACTTCGCCAGGTCGGTCGCCAAAGGTGTCTCTAGAACTCAGATGACTTCTTACGGTTCGATCTGGTTCAGAATAATCTGGAAGTCGCTCAAGTTCTGGTCGTTGACCAGCACCTGCTTAGTTCACTGGAGGTCCAACTGTAGAACGCAAGCAGACATTGGAAAACCGATTCAACTCCTAACGGATGAAATTGGAAAAAAGTGGCCCCCCCTAGCCAGCTCTTCGGCTTTGCAGTTTTCAGCGATTCCTCAGTGACCGTGCACCCATACGAGTCTAATATGGAAGAAGCTTGAACCTGTTGCTAATGATATAATGCACTCCTTGACTAGTTTTGAGCGCACAGCGTCAGCGAGCTCAAAGCCAGTTTAGCCGCTTTTGTTGTCGGAGTGAATTCGCTTTTCTCTTTAGGAAACTGCACTTCAGAGCAGTACATCTACGGCTGCCTTGATGGCAGCCAACTTCGCTTTAAAGGCGCTACAGTGGTCGGGCAATCTTAAACTAGAGTTGATGGAGAGCTCCCGACAGAAGGCACAGACAGAATTTTATACTCGCCTTGCCAATTTAAACGCACTACTCTTACTGTCAAACAGTGTTATTTATTCATCTCACGGATAGCTCGATTTTGACACCTTAAGCTAACACGTTTACATTTTTAAAACTTCCTTCCGCTTTTCATTTTACAACCCTGTACACGCCTATCCCGAGACATTGGCATCTCTCTGAGCCAATTGTTCTTACGTTGCTTTTAATTTCAAGCGACAGGCAGGCTTTTGCTATGTGTGTATTGGCATATATCTGACAATGTGCATATAGACTAACCTATTTACTTTCAAGTGTAATTGCGGAAGCATCGCCAACGCAGCCTGTTTA